TAGTGTGTAGACGTATAATTTAGTAGATTGCATTGTGTATATGGCTATAAGACCACCTTTTCACCGTAAAAAGGAACATTTAATTTTTTTTTTACCATAATGTTTTTGATTTAATAACTCTCTGTTTCGAATACATTCATTTATTATGATAATAGCTCCATTTTTAAGAGATTCAAGATTCCATCTGAGAAGTGATGAGCGGCAATTACACAGAAGAACATAATATACCAATTATTTTTTAAAGAAAATACAGGGGGGAATGAATTCTTAGAGTAAAAAGAAATAAAAAATATAGTGGACGACCACGACGAGACTCGAACTCGCAATCTTCCGATTCGAAGTCGGACGCCTTATCCATTAGGCCACGCGGTCCACACGAACACTACTTCCCAATTAACTATATAGACGTAATCAATGTAGTTCGGTGTACTATTTTTATACATATTACAATTGCATTATTTAAATTTACTCCAAAATGTTTTCATTGAGTAAAGCTTGAAGATCTCATCTTACCCAGCTCTCCATATCAACAACAACACTGATTATAAACATGAAATGAAGTAAGTGGAATTATTTCCAGAGTTACTTCCCTTCTACCGATGGAACAAAGAAGGTTGTTTTCAGGAGTCCGTGGTAACCGCGGACCATCTTGTTTGTAAGCAAATTTTCGGCTGAGACGTATACGTCTCTGGTTTTAGCCAAGGGAAAATTGTTAAAATCATATGACTTAAACCGCTACATACAATGTCGCCAAAAGATTTTTTTTCTAACTGTATATGTCCAACATGGCATTACAACGTTCTTGAATCATTTTAAATGGGTAAAACGGTGAATCAGTTTATATAGGAATTAGTGGCCTTAATTGACCATGGTCTTTGACCACGCTCAAGCTTACCAGGGAATATTTTCCTTCCGCTACAGCTGTAATCTCTCCACTAAATCCTACCGTTATAGCTTTGTCGCTATGTCGAAATGTCGTTTTTCATTTCTTATTCATTACGTCAATTATATATGAATGTAACAAGGTCAAATTTATTAAGTTGATGTATTGATTGTCACTTGGACCAGAGACATATATAACACACATGTGATATATACGTCTCTGCTGGGACGTATAATACGGTATTATACGTCCCTGATTGTCAAATTCTGTTGGATATTTTGTCGTTTAGTACAATATACTGAATTAGTTGTGTTTTTATTACTTGTTTGTTATTCGTAAAACTCGCATTACGTTTTGGCTGCCAATGTATACCAGTACGTATATCGGGTATAGCGCGAGTACGTTTCTTTGTTTGCGCTTTGTACACGTGTATGTGTGCTGTAAGTGAGTTGTGGTCAGCTACGGACTGGACATGTGACACTTGACGGACTTTGACGAAGTTGTTAGATTCGTTGAAAGTTTCTGCCGTGTGGGTTTCTATTTTTGTCCCTAGTACTTTCGGTACGTTTGAATTTTATCTCTCCAAGTGAACGATTGAATTATTTTGTCAGTAAGACTGTCTCTGAATATTTCTAGCATTTGTTCCTGCTATTGTAGTGACAGAATTTTATGTGGTGTCATCTGTGCTGTCGTGTGTACCATTAATGCATAATATGTGTTAATGTCCCTCTCTCTCCTTTAAGAAAAGTAAACCAAACAAACCCAGCGACTTTGTTATGATCATACCGCTACATGAAATCCTTTATTTCGAAGTTATGAAATGCACTTTGATCAGGAAAAAAAAATAGAACTATCTTCTATACATAAACAGCAGTCCGCCGTAATGACTCGTCGACATGTATAGCGATGGGACATTCCGCGAACTGAAATTACGTTCTATTTTCACCTAAGAAATGACACAACTGATATTAAAGTTTGTCAAAGTTATATCAATGTGTTGGAAAGTTACTATATTTGCTAGTCAGAGGCATACATTTGGATAATCATACATAATATTGCTTTTATTTCACATTGAATTCGTCAAAATAATCGTTTTGTTAAAATATAAGACTATGAAGGAGATTTGTGTGTAAGTTTTAACTAAAAATGAAAGAACCAATTTTCGTCTTTTTTATAAAATGTTATATTTGTAACGAAGAAATGTTAAATTTACTGAAAAGATGCATATGTTTTGGAATTTTCATTTACAAAACGATATATTGATATTTTTCTGAAATGCTTCTTTATAATCTACAGTAAAAAAAATCGTTCAACTCTAGCGAGAATCCGCGCGATACGTCCTAAACAGCTACGTATGAATTTCTTGCAACAAACTCATTTTGAAACGTCAGTTATATTCGCGAACTTAGCGTTAGTGCTCTTGTTTCTTTCTATAACCTTATTGTCGAAAAAAAACCCTTCCCCAAAACTAACTTGGGGGTGGAAGGCAAAGTCGATAAGTCCATAAACTGAAGTTTGTTTTAGAAATCTTTTATTGTATGTTAATAGCTTAAGCCATCTCCATGCTTCTGGTAGTTTATTTCCACATTCTTTTCTTGCTCTCTTTTTCTCTCTTTCTCCTCCCTTTTCTGACTATTTTCTTCTTTCTTCTCTTTCTGATAATAAACAATGCACTAGTTTTTTTCCCCTTAAATGAAATTACAAAATGTTTACATGCTAAAACTAAGTTTGATGAATGAGTGGTATAGTATGCAAGTTATACATGGTAATATCTGTTGTATATTATATTTATGCATTGTTTGAAAATTGGAAAAAATAAAAAGTTACAAAAAAAAAAAAAAAAAAAAATAAATAAAATAAAATAAACTGAAGCAAATAACTAGACAGTTGATAGCTTCCTTGGGTTGGTAAAAGCACATGTTAATTTAAGATGACAAGCAATTTTTTTTATATCATATTGACTAGTTAGATAACTTATTTGTGATTTTTTGTTGTCTTCATTCTGTATCAACATCAAACTAGAAACCCTGTAGAGACATACTGATTTCACACTTAGTCGCTTCTAAAATGTTGAAATTCTCGAAATTTGATTGGGTGAAATATCGCCCCATGGACAGTCAATGTCATTTAAGGCGGGTCTCCTTGTAGCAGCTGCTGATAACCTCATTGAACAACATACGAGAGGCCCAAAACCACTAAAAGGATCTTCAATTGTTACTGTGAAACTCGGCTATGTATGTCACTAAGCGATGTATGTCTTTGAATGTTTCTTTCATATACACCTCTGGTTGGACACGATCAGTTTTTTGGCCTATGTATAATAATTGATACAGTGTAACGCTAAACTGTGGAGCCAATCTGATTACAATAGTTCATTATTCAACACTACGTTATGAAGTAGTATATAATGGTAATCAGTATTTTAATGTAATACTGTGGAACCGAAATACTGATTGGATATTCAACACCTGATACTATATAACTTTTGCTTTCAAACTTAGTCCCCAAAGTCCCTGTCAGACCCTATTGTGGGTTGGATTTTACGTATCGATATTATCCGAAAAGACAAATTAATAAGTTCTTACAAGGCTCCTCAAATACACGAAATATTGTTTTTAACATGTGACAGAAGGAATTGTTCATAGAGGAGCCAGGCTATCGACAAAAACATCGACACTGACCATGTCGGCCTTAAAACAAAAGTTCCGATAAGGTAAATTTATACCTCCCTTTTGATAGAGTTCAAATTGAAAATGAGAATCTTATAGAATAAAACACGGAATCATAATAAAATCGATCACCGTAACCGCTGGTCTCCAATAACCACACAAATTCTTCCTCCTTAATATATTTTTCACAGCTTTAAATGTTGTCATATTCAGGATATCGCTTTGAAAAGGATCTCACTGAACACACGAATACACTGCCATAAAACGTCAAGTTTTGAATATTTTCCTTATTAGAATATCTATTTTATTGTTTTTCTTTACAAACTTTAATAGAAGAAAATCGGTCTCTATTATCGTTTCTGAAACTCCGTGATTGCTCTCTTGATTTCCTGTTCAGCCTTCTCTCGGATATTATCATCGAAAGTCTGTCATTCTATTATGAAACGACTCATTGCGAGTACATGAATAGACTTTTTTCTTTTTATATATATTTTTTTTCAGAAAAGGCGAGTCCGGTTTACCTTGACGAGAATCGCCGGTCGTGACTCCTACTTGCTGAATAATGATAATAATAAAAATTTTGTTTGTTTGTTTGTCTGTGTTTTTTGTTTTTAGTTTCGCTTATTCTTTTACAAAGAATATTTATAAGATAATTAAACAAAACTTATCAAGTCCTTTTCTTATGCAAAATACAAGGTACAAGTGATAAATTGATTAGGCAATTAACGCAATACAATATCTTACAGCTGTGACGATACATAAGGAGAGAGGGGCGGGGGATAAATATCTGCTGACGATACTTTATCTTGTTTGATCTTAGTCCGTGGTTTAATAGATCCTGATCTAAAATTACATGCGTTAAAAACATAGGTCACAAGCATATGTTAAATGCAGTCCCTATCCCCTACCTGATAAAGTGCCGATTAAATTACGTCATAGGTTCTGTTGCCAAATTTTGAAACTGGACTGAGGGTAGCATGGGATCTTAGTTACAGCACTCAAAGTTACAGCATTCAAACTTCCTTATGTTAAACACGAGAGAATGAATTTAGAGACATTTGTTAGATATTTTAAACTTCCTTTCTATCTTTATTTAATACATGTATCATACTGACATAGTTTATTGTTTCCCTGTAATCCAGTATTGCAAATGACAAAAAGAAACGCTAACTATATACTTAGAAAAAAAATTCGAGAATTATAGAATACTATTTCACGATGATACGCGTTTTATAAGTGACCAGTGTTTCATACTGAGTTTGTTTTTATGTGGCGTATTCGATGAAGTATTGTTAACTACAATAATTGTGCACGTTTACGTCATGTCTACATATACTTTGTCCCCCTTTGTGGCCTCATCTCGTGACGTAGGTAAATAATAGTCTCGTGACGTTTACTCAAAGGCCCAAATCATTCCGCAATAAATATAGTCCGTAATACCGAAGTCAAGCAGACAGCAGTGGAGCTTTGTAGAGGAAGCCTGAAGAGACTGCATTTGGACTTTTTATATGATATTTATTAGTAGTTAGTTTCCATAGAGTGTCATTCACATATCTTACAAGTGAAAACAATTTTTTTGCGGAGCTGTCGATCCACAGTTAGTTTCTCATTAGTGGCGGCGGAAAGTGCCCGAGTACTGGAATCTCTGATATTGTGACTGTTGCTTCGTTTGTCAACCAACAACCGTCAAAATGGTGGAAGGAGGCATGAAATGTGTCAAACTGCTTCTGTTTGCGTTTAATTTTATATTCGTGGTAAGTTTTTGTTTAAAAACCTGATGATACACTGTGAACATACGGTCGTTCTTCCGCCCGTTTACGGAGCATTACGAGTGTGTATTGAGAAATGACAATTTGATAGTCCACGTAATATTGTCGATATCAGTTAACTTGCTAAATATTCATAATTTTAACAACTAAATATACGTTATGTTCAACTTTTTATGATGCAACACAGCGTGTTATATTTATGAATGATTTTGACGTACGTGGCAAATATTGCTCTTGGATTTTGAGAGGTGCCGCAAGGGAGTGGTTAAAATATTTGGATTTTAAATCTGTATTTTGATATCGAATATTGGAGTATATCATAGTCTACCACTGCAATAATTATACACGGCATTCTCCTGCCAAGACCAAACAAAATGATAACAACGTCTAAATGCCACCATATGGATATAAACATAAATTTCTATTAACGTTGAGTGATCAAAAGGGCTGATGCAGATATGTCACAGTGAATTAAGTAATGCTTTGAGTAAGATGTGTAAGCTATTAAAGAAGATGAAAAAAGACTGCACGGTTATGATCAAATGTGTATAATACATGTTCATATGTCTCGTTAGTAGAAGAGTCCTATTATTCATGCCCATATATTAGACAAGGAAAGCATTAAGGCTGTACACTGTTCAAATTATATTTGATTGATATCTTAAATATGATTAATATAGTGTTGTTTTACCGCTGAAAGAGAAAAAGTCCCTAAATATGTCTACAGTCTTGAAACATTCCTCATTTGAAACTAACAAATTAATTCAGTAGACTGGAGATACCCTGAGCTGATCACAAATAAAGATCACATGACTGGCATGAATGGATTTCAAATTGTAACCCTGGTAAACTACTAGCTCGTCTGGAGAGAACTTCTATTTAGCCCGATTGGATGAGAATTGGACTAGTAAGCCAGAGGTCCTGGGTTCAAATCCAAGCAGACATTGAAGTAAATAATGACCTCTGTTACATTGCTTAATTGGCTTCACTTGAAATGTTTCCGTATGTTTCTTGTTTAGTGTTTCAAATGTGAAAAATTCCTTTTTACTGAATTGTAGAAAAAAATAGGTGGGACCTCGTAAAAGTTCTTTTGTTATGGCTATGATGCTAGTCAGTCATGTTTTATACTGGACACCAGTTACACGGGTTAATTTTACAGAGTAAGTCTTAATGGCTAATTGTAAGCTGGTCTAACAATATCATGATCAAGATCAGTGGCTAAAAATAGAAATGAATCACCTGACCAGGAACAGATTTATTTGAACGAGTATTGAATGTCGATGATGTCTTTAAAAGATGTTACAAGCAATTTAAAGCATGAATTTAGATATGAACAGCTTGGTGTAGAGAAAAATTGAATATCATTGAGCAGGAGTTTTGTTCTTATTTTATGTTCAACTTCAAAATATATACACAAGCCAACATCATATGATATACCTAAAGGATGATAAAAACTAATTAACCTGAACAAGCATGTTTGTACAAGATACTTTTTAAAAAACCTGGTGAATTCAATGTATGAATGAAGTCATTCATGTAATTTTAACTTTCTGTATTTAGAAACCCTGTAAAATGTAATGGAAAACCATTTAACATTTAAAGAAATTTAAGTTTTTTTTTTATTTAATTCCTAGAAAACCACTCCAGCTCAAGAGGTGACTAAAAAGTTGTCAGGAAATGGGAACATTGTTAATATAATTTTTTTCCTATCTCTATGGTTACCTACTAATTGAATGTGAACAGTTACTTTTCTATAGGAAGTATGACTTGGATAAAATTGAGAAAAATGGATGGCTCAGTTTCATTTTTAGAGGCCCCATAATTCTTTATGGTAGGAAGTTATGAAGCAATTTACTCATTTTGTAATGATGGTGTGTGTGTTTGGTATGTGTAGGAGGGGGAAAGGGGCGTTACACTGTGTTTAAAAATATAAATATATCCACAGTACCAAACAATTGACGTTGATTGAAATTTGTGTCAGTGATATTGATAACAATGTCTGTACACAGTATTTTATGTTTGCCTGTAACGGTCAGCTGGTCATCAGCTGTCTGATAGTGGACAGTCTTCATGTCCAGCCCCCAGAGGTGTACATACAACATAAACAATGAATCGGTTGTGTACTATGAATAACTGACGTAGTGACTTTTCAGATGACTTTCAGATGAGTCATCCTAATGTTTGTAAATGTACATGTATTCACAGGGATGACAGGGCAGTGATATGCATTTGTCACTTGTATTACTACCAATTAGAAAGTGGAATGTTTTTAGTAGCTTATACCTTCATCAATTCAGAAAATTGAGGGTGATTGTCTGAAAAATATTTTCCAATTTTGCTTTGGTTTTTCATGTCTATATTGAAGCATTAATATTGAATTCAAAGCTTGGAGATTTCATGTCTATATTGTAGCATTAATATTGAAATCTATGTTTGGAGATTTCATGTCTATATTGTAGCATTAATATTGAAATCTATGTTTGGAGATTTCATGTCTATATTGTAGCATTAATATTGAAACCTGTGTATGGAGATTTCATGTCTGCTACAGGTTACTTATTTGTAAATAAGAAGTGATTTATATTTAGTCTAGACAGAATGTCAGCTTTTAAGCAAGTGAAATACTGGCTGTTTTATTAGCATTGAAAACAGTTTACCTGGTTAGACTGTGGTTAATCACAGAAAAAATGTACAAAACTTGCTTTGATATTAAGGAAAAGTAGTATCATGGTACCGATATTTGTTAAAGATTTGGAAACACATTTTTTTACATTCCGTGTATTGAACTCTTAGAAGCAAAAGTTTAAACAATGGTTTTCTGTTCTTAGTGAAGATTTTCTTGGATCAAAAGTGATAATGAAAGTTTAGTGATCGCTGTTTAGGGAAAACTCTGATACACAAATATTACTAAGTATGTGTATTACCAGAATAGCTGGATTTAGGTCTACTTCCTGGTGTGTTCCAAAGGTCATTCAATGTATGAACTTAAGGAATAAAAGGAAGCTTAGTGTTGTGTATCTTTTGGTTGATATTGGTGCAAGGAAATGACGGAAGGACATGATAAAATAATATGATCCCAATTTCATTCGAAACTTAATGTGAATAATTTTACAAATATTGTAGGACTTTCGCATGTCATACTTGAATCAAGAGTCATGTGATAGATTCTCTTGGTACATCAATCTAAATATAGACTATATTGGCCTATATTTCACAATAATCTGATACTTAGTCATTTAGGAAGTCCATCCATATTTAATAGGTTAGTGCTCTCTGTAGAAATGGGATGATGATTGTATATAATTGATTACGTAATTCTTAAGCCTCATCTGATGCCAGGATCCACTGTAATTTTCATGATCGATTATCAGCACCTTAATATTTTTTGTGATTTAGAAGAAATTTTCATTATACATACTAATAATATTCATTTGTATGCCAATTCTAAGTAAGTTATTTCAGGTATACAAAAAGAACATATTACTGCAAAGAAGAATTCATTCAATTTCAATAATTATTGAACTCCGCTGATGATGTTATGGATTAACAACATCTAAAAACAGTCGGAGTTAACTGATGATCACAGAATTTCTATTGATTTTCCATCACTATTCCTGTGACTGACACGCCCACCCCCAAACTTTTAAGCTTATGTGTTGGTCCTTTTCACTTAAAACAAGATAAATATAATATATTTATATGTATATATACATGTATATAGGTAAATGTGAAAGTTTATATTTGAATTGTTGTGATGGGCCTGAAAGTATGACAAAATCAATAAAATAAAAAGGGTTTTATTTCAATGTTTTGTTAATATAATCTGAAACTTAATCTGAAATTATCATTCCTCATCTTTTCAAATCAGTTCACTTGGAGATAATTTTATGTACATACATAAAACATTATTATGTACACATTGGTATATAGATCAAGTTAACTTTGCCAAAATTTAATGATTAGACATTAAGACTTGTTATATAGTCCATCTGGTGGTATATTTGTTGATTGGTTGACAAGTTTTCTATCTGTGCGACTCCCTCCGATGTCCGGATATCATCCCACTGACGAACGTCAGTGTTCTGGCGACGTTTAGTGATATAAGCCACCATGTCTGTATATATGTAGTCATGTGGTGGTATTTGTACTACACGTATATCAATATACCAGTCTCTGTTCTTTTGGTCACAGCTGCTTGTTATTGCATTATATTAGATGAAACGTCTATAATAATTTCATGTCAGCATATAGTGAAGAACATTACAGATTAACAGATGTGCAGCTTATTTGTACTTAATACACCTCATGGTGTTTCCCTATTAAAGAGGGATATTGTACTTAATACACTTCATGGTATTTCCCTTTTCATTAGGGAATTTGTACTTCATACTCTTCATGGTGTTTCCATATTCATGAGGGAATTTGTACTTCATACTCTTCATGGTGTTTCCATATTCATGAGGGAATTTGTACTTCATACACTTCATGGTGTTTCCCTATTCATGAGGGAATTTGTACTTCATACACTTCATGGTGTTTCCCTTTTCATGAGGGAATTTGTACTTCATACTCTTCATGGTGTTTCCATATTCATGAGGGAATTTGTACTTAATACACTTCATGGTGTTTCCCTTTTCATGAGGGAATTTGTATTTAAAACACCTTATGGTGTTTCCCTATTCATGAGGGAATTTGTACTTCATACTCTTCATGGTGTTTCCATATTCATGAGGGAATTTGTACTTCATACTCTTCATGGTGTTTCCATATTCATGAGGGAATTTGTACTTCATACTCTTCATGGTGTTTCCATATTCATGAGGGAATTTGTACTTCATACACCTCATGGTGTTTCCCTATTCATGAGGGAATTTGTATTTAAAACACCTTATGGTGTTTCCCTATTCAGGAGGGAATTTGTATTTAAAACACCTTATGGTGTTTCCCTATTTAGAATTTTTACTTAATTTAATGATAAATAATAGTTTGAGCTGTTTCCTGCCCTATGAACAACCAGGGTCATGTTGGGGCGGATCATTTGATAGAGGTGACTGAATACCTTATAGAAGACTGACCACATGCTATTTTTTACTGATTAATTTCTACCTTTCACAACATGAGATGGTTTGTGATATCATCAAAAGACATGTGATATCAAGCACAAGCCACCATTGAAAGGGAACCCCCAACTCATAGTTTCATTTATCCTGGATACTCCAGGGGTCCATGACAAATTTGAAGGTTCCATGTAAGACACCTTGTGGATAAGATGAGCAGAATAGTTTGATCTTTTAATGTATATCAAACAAATCTCCAGGCGGATAAACAGCATGTTATACAGGCTTTGAAGTTGGGTGTCACTGCCTTGTAAATTTCAAAGTAGCATATCAGTCTGTGATTGGTCAGTATTTTTTCTCCTGAAACAAGCTCTAGACCTATCAGAAAACATTGCCTGTACATTCAATTTTGCCAGGAAATGTGCAAGAAGTGCAGATAGAGAAAGTAATTTTATCCCCTTGAGTATCGAGGATGATTTAAGTCTGATACTTTACTAACCGATGAGCTATTGTAGCCTGAAGATTTGACGACAGAAATATCAGTAAAATATCATCTGTATTAATATCAGTAAACTTCTTTATCATTTATTACTAATTAAAAGGAAATATCTTTCTTTGAATTATGTGATTACCTTCCACATCTACCTACCTGAATTATGTGATTACTTTCACATCTACCTACCTGAATTATGTGATTACCTTCCACATCTACCTACCTGAATTATGTGATTACCTTCCACATCTACCTACCTGAATTATGTGATTACCTTCCACATCTACCTACCTGAATTATGTGATTACCTTCCACATCTACCTACCTGAATTATGTGATTACCTTCCACATCTACATACCTGAATTATGTGATTACTTCCACATCTACATACCTGAATTATGTGATTACTTCCACATCTACATACCTTAATTATGTGATTACCTTCCACATCTACCTACCTGAATTATGTGATTACCTTCCACATCTACATACCTGAATTATGTGATTACTTCCACATCTACATACCTGAATTATGTGATTACCTTCCACATCTACATAACTTAATTATGTGATTACTTCCACATCTACCTACCTGAATTATGTGATTACCTTCCACATCTACCTACCTGAATTATGTGATTACTTCCACATCTACCTACCTGAATTATTTAATTACCTTCCACATCTACCTACCTGAATTATGTGATTACTTCCACATCTACCTACCTGAATTATGTGATTACCTTCCACATCTACCTACTTGAATTATGTGATTACCTTCCACATCTACCTACCTGAATTATGTGATTACTTCCACATCTACCTACCTGAATTATGTGATTACCTTCCACATCTACCTACTTGAATTATGTGATTACCTTCCACATCTACATACCTTAATTATGTGATTACCTTCCACATCTACCTACCTGAATTATGTGATTACCTTCCACATCTACCTACTTGAATTATGTGATTACCTTCCACATCTACATACCTTAATTATGTGATTACCTTCCACATCTACATACCTGAATTATGTGATTACCTTCCACATCTACTTACCTTAATTATGTGATTACCTTCCACATCTACCTACCTGAATTATGTGATTACCTTCCACATCTACATACCTTAATTATGTGATTACCTTCCACATCTACATACCTTAATTATGTGATTACCTTCCACATCTACATACCTTAATTATGTGATTACCTTCCACATCTACATACCTTAATTATGTGATTACCTTCCACATCTACATACCTTAATTATGTGATTACCTTCCACATCTACATACCTTAATTATGTGATTACCTTCCACATCTACATACCTTAATTATGTGATTACCTTCCACATCTACCTACCTTAAAGAGGTTGTTCACAGGACAATAAACTCATATATTTGTCTACACTTGTACCAATGCTGGAATAAGTTTGATTTATTTGGAATAATTTAGTACTGTTAACATATATAGATATATATACAAAGATATTTTTTAACTTGGTGCTGTGGTTTGGGGAATTTTGAGGATTTTTTTGGACTAATAATGGGCACCATTCCCAATTGAAATTATATCATATTAAGCCAAATCCCCAGAATTTGCAATTTAGAAAAAATTCCTTTCCAATTCACCAACTTTCTTCCTACAATTAAGCAAAATGGCCTCAATCCGAACCATTGGGAAAAGCTGTGATGGCACTGTACTATGCAAGCCTTCATGTAACATCACCGATGTCTGTAATGTAACGTTTACTGATACATCCTATCACAGCATGCATATGGGTATTCCCCATCAGACAACTAGGTTTATTAAGTTCAGAAAATTATGGTTTTTCCAATGATTTTTATATTTATGTTTATGTTTTCCAGGTGGTAGGATGTGTGCTGATCGGAGTAGGAGCATATATTCAATTAAAATTCAAGGATTACTTAAATTTTGTAGAAGGACAGTTTAGTTCAGCAGCAGCACTGCTCATTGCTGTTGGTGTCATTATCTTCTTCATTGCTGCTTTTGGCTGCTGTGGAGCATGGAAGGAAAATTACGTCTGTGTTATGATCGTAAGTACGATAACTTGGTTCTCTCTAAAACAGTCACAGATGGATTTTCTCCTGCAGAACAGGTGCTATAAATTTCTAACTTCAGTTTACAATGTCTTTTCTTTGTTGAAATGAAGCATTAAATAAGTAAATTAAATAAATTTACCTGTATATATTGATGCCAGTGCTTCAGCCATGTCACCAGAATATTTAAATACAAAATGAATGTGACCTTATCTTCTGGTTCATGTAAGGGTCTTTTCGCCATACATGCTGCAATCACGAAAAAAGTATTGGGAACATCAAATCTACTTACATATCTAAATTGTCCAATGAAAAGTGGGAAGTTAAACATTCTCTATGTTGGTGGAAAATGTCCTGATTTTTAATATTTAGATAAATCATTGAGATCTGACAAAGCATTTTTGACTCCCAATAATGGATAATGATATCTAAAATTGTGTATCTTTTATTTACAGTTTTCTGTGTTGTTGGGCATTGTCTTCATCCTGGAGATTGCAGGAGGAATCGCAGGCTACGTTCTCCATGACAAAGTGGAAGATGGTGTCAAAACACTGATGGAAGACTCCATGAAACGTTACAAAGCTGACCCCACAATCTGGGATTTGGTCCAGAAAGACTTCAAATGCTGTGGTACAAACAATGCAACAGATTGGGTAGCTGCAAACAACGGTACCTATCCAAAATCCTGCTGTAAACCAAATACGAGTGCCACCTGTGATGGAACAGGTGTAGATATTTACACTGAGGTAAGTTTGACAGTAAAATTTTCTGAAACATTTTCTACAATGTGAAAATTCACCAGACATTTACGTTACGAGAGTTTAGAAGTATGCAATATTTCTAAAATTATTAATTTTTATGTGGGAGCTATGAATTTAGATGTCCATGAAATTATACCTAGGATTACTTTGAATATAGCACAGGCAGATTTTGTGAGCCAGATTAAACAACAAAATCAAACGCCAATGAAAATGTAATTTTTGGAAACCACAAAACTTGAGGCTAATGAAAATATTTGATTTTACAGTAGACTACAAGTCATGTATTGATAGCTAAAATGTAGTGTATAATATATCCAAGACTCCTGAAAACCCCGATTCCAGGAAATTAGTTTCCAAGATGGAAGTCTAGATTTGTTGATACTGAGAAAATGTGGAAATGTTTACGTAAAGGTTTGATCAAGATGTTTTAATAATAATAATAATAATATACAACATTTATATAGTGCACTATCTATTTTGACAAAATACTAATGCGCTTCACAATTACATAATAATCTTACTACAAAATTTATAGAACATGTATAACACAGTAATCAACATATGTAACACAGTAACCAAATCAAGTTAGTAGTGGTGAAAGTATGTATATACAGGACGTCTGCGTGAGAGTCTAAAATGCAGATGTAAACAGGTGGGTTTTAATATCCCTCTTGAATTTGGCCAGGGATTTTGACTTTCTAGTAGCAGATGGTAAGCTGTTCCACAAAGTGGCCGCTACCTTTCCAAAGCACAGGTTACCATAAGTCACAGTCCGAGAGTTTGGAATGCACAACAAGGATTCTGTCTCCGATCGTAGTGATTGTGACGGCCGATAAACAGTGACAATTTCCTGCAAATATTCAGGAGCTGTTCCATTTATTGCCTTGTATGTATACATCAAAATCTTTTACTGTGACCGGAATCGCACGGGCAGCCAATGCAATAAGTAAAGGACTGGTGTAATGTGGTCCCTCTTTTGAGTACGGGTAACTAGGCGTGCTGCAGTGTTCTGTACCCTCTGCAGGCAGCTCATTAGTGTATCAGATACACCAACAAGTAACGCGTTACCATAGTCTAACCTAGAAGTAACAAGAGAATGTACCAGTGTCTTGCATGCATCTGTGGTGATGAACTGACGGATACCCCAATGTTTCTGATTTGGTGATAACAGGAACTGGCAATTGAGTTTATCTGTTTCTCCATGTTCAGAGAGCTATCAAAGTGTACACCAAGGTTTCTCACAGTTTGGACGGCCTCAATAGTTTGGGCACCGACCTTTAACTGGAGACCTTTAGTGTGTTGACACTTGTGGGAAAAGACAATCAGTTCTGTCTTTTCCTGATTGAGCTTGAGCATATTTGAGTTCATCCAAGCACTGATGTCATTTAGACAGGCTTCAAGACTTGCTACTATTATGTCCCAGTTGTCTTGAGGTCTGATAACCATGTAGATTTGTGTGTCATCGGCATAACAATGGTACTGAAGGTTATGACGACGACAAATCTCCCCGATTGGTTTCGAATAAGGACAGTATTTTCTAGGTCCCAAAACGGACCTCTTAGGAACTCTGAAGTCTAAGGTTTTGCTGTCTGAAACAGTTGATCCAATGGCAACGCACTGTCGTCGTTCATTCAAGTAAGACTGGGTCCAGCGTAATGCATCACCAGTCACCCCATAAGAGTACTCCAGACGCTTGAACAGTGTGCCATGGTCAATGACATCAAATGCAGCAGACAGATCAAGCATGATAAGAACCGCTCTTTTTTCTTTGATTTGTTCTGGTAGCAATGACTACAGTGTTGTAATAAACATGTTTTTCAGGGATGTCTGGATGCTTTTGTTACCTGGGTGAAGGACAAGATCTTCATTGTTGGTGGTGTTGGAATTGGTCTGGCATTCGTACAGGTAAGGCAATAATTGGAATTATAGTACCATACAGTGTAGTCAACTTCTTGTCAAATGGTATCTAGTCCTGGCCTTCAAAATCAAGGGTGTTTTAGAGGCCATCAGGTAGAAATAACTTGTAATTATTATATTGTGTAGTACACCTGTATGTATTTAGTTGATGTTATGTCTGATCATCATATTTCATCAGGCAGCAAGCCACTGTTGGTAATAACCCCACCCTTAACAAATTGTCAGTAAGACCCAAGGTGGTGTTAATGTTTTAATAATCAGCCTCGCTGTTTACGTTGATTGAAGGACAAAAAAGATTCCAACTAAATTAAACGACAAAAAGATGGAATTGGTTGATTTACCATGCAGGTGCAAAAGTGTGAAGTGGAAGCAAGCACAGTTTAGTAACATACACAAATATTAGGAGTTAAAAATTGGCTCTAATAATAATACAATAATTTTGACAGACAATAAGCTTAGGTTTGGTAATAAGCCCATCCTTAACTATTAATGTTTAGATGGATTACCAACACAAAGAGCAGTTTTAACAAGGGTTTTTCAATGTCCTGTGACAAGCTCATCATCTATCTTTGAGAAGTCAGGTCTTGGGGTGCTATGGGCATTGGGAGATTGTAATGTAGGAGCCCCCCACCCACCCTAATTAAAATAAACAATGTTGGTGATAATAGCATCTGACAAACTTCTTGTTAATGAAAAGAACTGGTTTTCTTGATTATTTTTTGGGGATTAGTCACCAGCACTGTTTCCCTATGTAATGTATTTGTTACATAAGGTACAACTTCACAAAGGTAATGTAATATACAGAAGTTTTAATGGTTTGTCTTTACAGATTGTTGGCATCCTGTTTGCCTGTTGCTTCGGTCGGGCCCTGAAGAAGGAGTATGAAGTGGTGTAAAACCACTGTCAGGAGTGTGCAAGACTTGACAAATAAGGGATTTGGTTACCATCTGCTGCCCAAAGATGAAACTTCTGGAAGCATTCGTTATCAACAAAAGCTTTCCAATTTCTGCTGAAAAGTTAAAAATTACATGTTCTGTGATGGGCAATAACAAGTTTTCCATCATGTATTTCATGAAATGCATGACATTTTTTTTATTCATCTTCTCACCCGTCATTTCTTTAATCATGTGAAAAGGGACATTTTGATATCAAAGAGTATTATGGTGCATAACATTTGAAGAAATTTATTTTTTCCAAATATATTTTGAATTGATAATTGGAATTTGATACATACCCAGGTATGTCCAACACAAATATATTTCCAACTTTTGTCGTAACATAATCATTGAACAGACAATCACTGGCATAGCACCATTTTAGGGAAATTGATGCTAGTAGAATACTTGAGAAAATAGGGAATCCAAGCTGAGATATAGAGAAATTTATTTTCTGTTAAAAAAACTGTTCTTTGTTGTAGTCTATCTGAAGTTTTGAGATTTGACCTTTTTGAAGGTCAGGATTGGTATATCAGAGGTTGAGGGATACTATTTACTACAATTTACTAACAATCGCATACTATTACACTGCATATGTAGCTGTAGACTGTAACACATAGATAAAGGACATAGTATATGATGACCAGGGTAGTGACCTCAAAATTTTATTATTAACGTCAAAATGTAAAATAGCCATTTCAATACCGAAAGCTAGAAATGGACAGATCAAGGTTGAATAATCAAAAATACCAATTTGAAGGTTGAAATGTTGTAAATTGTATTTACACAGTGACACAAGTGAAAATTATAGGTCAAGGTTGATCAATTGAAAGACATTTACGCATTGACCAAGGTCAAATTGACATTCAAAGTTGATTGGTCATGTGATCAATAGTTGTTAAAAGATGATGAAACCAGTCATCTTTCAGCTGCTTAGAGGGCCCAATTATCTGTTATCATTCTTATTTTTTTTGTAATTTGCTATATTTTCTGTTTGTAAAAGCAATTAAAATGCTTAAAATTTCAGTTTGTGTTTGTTTTTAGTTGCATATAGTGTATTTGTTTTCTTTCTTAATTTAAGAGATTAAAAGCTGGATGGGACTAGTAAAAGCCTTTAGGGTATGGCTCGCATGAAAGATTCGTGCATGGCTTTGTTTTCCTTTATAATGTGTGTTTTGTAAGATTATTCCTATTCATTTGACATCTGTAATGCTGGCCGTGACTAGACAATGCTATTTAGAATCTTTGTTTTCCTTGACGAACTACAAACCCTCAGTAATTATTTTCATAATTGATATTTTAAAGTTCAGGTTAAGTTCAATTTTAACCTGATTACCAATGAGAATAAGAATGAATAAAATCAGTAGTCGAGGAAACATCAGTTGTAAAACAGGAGAATAATTCTATTAATAGCCTTCATTGGATTTTGGTTGTTTACACGTTATAACTTTGATCAAATAAATTTTGATTCACGTTTTGTAAATGTAGGCTAAGACTTATCATACAAATAAAATACCCAACTCATAGTACAAATAATTACCCATCAGGTTTTTATCAGGAGCAAATGCACTGAAAATTTTAGTATGAGTTCAAGGTCACGTTTATATGCATGGGTAGCTAGAAAGATCTCAAATCCTAATGATTCTAGATTTAGTGAATAGAGCAAAATTTAGTTTCTTTTAAATATATTTGTTCAACATTTTATATTTTACACTTGAATTATTTCAATGATAGTAAATCTATTTGATTAGAGATTTCTACACATTTGTGCTGTTGTCATAGTGATTGCTTTTGTGATGTTGCCATAGTAACGCCTTTGTAATTTTGCTGTAGTACTGCTTTAATGTGAACATTCCATAAACATCTGGCGTTTGTATATACACGAGTGATATAGCATGCTTTGTGCATGTTGTTCTTGCAATGTACATGTACTTGATATCTAGGTCAGTACATTTATTTCCCTCTAGTAGAACAACAATATACTCGAGACATGAAAATGTTGCCGTCATATAATTATCTATATTTTCCTTAGTACAGAAACTACAGAATCAACTAGATGCTAGTAAGGAAATTTGTTTTCCTCAATGTAAAAATGTATGTGGAAAAAATTTCTCATAGTTGCATAAGACAAGGTATATGAAATGAAAATACAGTATTTTTGAGAAAACAAAATCTTCATGTTGGTCATCACATTGATACAAAATTTTAGGTAGAATAAACAATACTCTTTCTATAGTTTATTACTGGAATATTTGATATTTCACTTCTGGTTTACACACATTCGATTTCCAGAATCATCCATTTGTACCACACAGTACCATTCGGTATATAATACCGGGCTGATGAAATTCCAATTCCAAGACGCTTAAAAACATTGTAGCGAAGTTAGATGAAATGGACAATAAGGGTCATTGGATACAATTCTTTCACAAATGCATATTTACTGGCAATGTTAGCTGAAATTCCTAAGACACAACCAAGTTGTACTGACCTATGAGATGCACGCAAGCTATCCAATAAGAAGTGTTCTGAACATGGCTATGGGCTGTGACGAGGCTTATCAGCTCTCAACACTGCAGTTTTCTATTGTACGAAGGTGTAGACTTAGTCAGGTATAGAAACGTAATCATAGTACAGCTATATTGTCCTGCTAATCGTTCGTGATGCTAGGGACCGAAATGTTGAAATCAAGGCGTGACTGGTTTCATCTTCAAAATGTCCTTTACAGACCTTACAAAGTAGGTGAATGTTGATTGCATTCACCTGACACTGTTAGTACTGATATTAAGTGAAGACGGCTCAGATGTAAGTACAAATGTTTATCAGACGACTTGAACCCTTTACCATAAGAACTATTTACAGGTATAGTAAACATTATTTTTTCTCACTCGTATGAAAATATTGATGCTTGTAAATTTTCTCTTATTGAAGTAAAATCAAAAAGTTTTTGGATGAGAAAACGTACATAGAAATCTGGTTGATATTTATTAATATGTAAGACGTGTTATGAACATATCTTTGTAGATATATATATATACATTTTATCAATATTGTCCTTATTTAGTCGTCAAAGAGGTTCTCGCACTGCTTTGTTGTTCACTGTGGTTCTGTCTAAGGTCTTGAAATGTGTTGTCCAACTGTTGAAATGATGATCATTGTACACTAATTAACACAATAGACATTACAGACCTGCGCATCTCTTTTACTTTATATTTACTGTTAGCGAGTGGTATTTATCGTAAACTGATTTTCAACAGAAAATGACCTATTGGTGATGGGATAGTGCAGTTGGAAATTATATATGTTTTCAGGATTTTTGTAATCCATATGTCTTTGGAAAAAAGTTTCAAGGTGCTGAAATTTATCCTGTTCTAAATCAGATCACTTTTGTTTTATCATGCACGAACCTTATTTTATCGATAATTTGACATATGACATCTTTCATTTGATATATAACACCAATGTAGGTTAATTATTGAAATTTAAACTTAGATATTTGTCTATGTATAATGCTGCGGAAGCTGCTGAGCTTTTCATCAAAACAATATAAACTTGCCTTTTATGAGTGTTGAAAACACGACAAATTTTTATCAAAACTTTCCTCTTGATCAAAACTACAGTTTGCCTAATCAAAATACCTTTTCTATTCATATCAATGTCATAGCGAGATATTTGTTGAAACATTCACGATCGCTCAGATTTAATTTACCATATATGGTCAAATGTATAACGAAAGCCACAAACGAGAATATCCCTTTAGGGAAATATTGACGGTTCTCGATGGTGGTATATTTCCGAAACTTGATTTTCAGTGCCTTGTTTCAGAACTAGAGACACTAGCAGATACAGTAAACATGAAACCGATTATTTAGTATAGAAATGGAGAGTTTCAAGGATAATTTTATTGAGATGTTGAGGTCTTGCTGATACACTGTAAACCTGCTAATGTTCGCGTTTGGAATTTCTCCATATTAGTGAAGTTTGCAGCTATTTGATTTCGGATTTTACCCAGTCCCAATCGCTGAGCATGTCGTTTCTTAAAGGGAAAACATTAACGACGATTAGTTTTTGGCTCATTAAATATTTCAATGGAAATTGCGCACAGATAATTGTAGTCTTACAATATCAAACAGACCCCCTTCCATGATTTCACCAGCCTCAATACAAACTGCAGTTGTTCTAATATTAAAGATGAATATATATTGCTTAAATGTTGCGAATATACAAGTAGCCTCTTTGTTTTTAGCTCAGTATCGTACCCGTAAATGTCCGAGATAAAATGTGTTTGATGTGCAACAATGTTTACGTATATTCAGTGATAATTGCTTACTTTACAGTAAATATAACTATATTTATCTATAAAATATAATTAAGAATATATACACTTAATATGACAATTTAAGTATACACTGAACGCCTGGGCCTGTGTGCATGAACCATAACGTCAAGTGCGCTGTTTTCTGTACTTCATTATTAGCCCTACTTGAGAGAATTAAATACACAAACATTACTAGACTGAAAGACCAAAGATTCACTTTATATCGGCGAATTGTGTTCACTGGTACGCGCTATTTAAACCAGTCGAGCGACGCTTTGCGTAAAGTTCCAACTGCATGCTCATACGTCACTCGCCAATCTGCAAAGGCCGAAAAGAACAATGCTCGTGCTATGACAACAAAATCATCGTGATTAGACACAGAAAAGAGATTGCATTCAGAAAGGGAGTCTAACAGGTATTTGCCGAATCAATTTCAGCATTCTACAGTGATCCTTGAATTTGCCAGGAATTTTTCTTCTGAATTTGTCTTTTGTTTCCTCCTTATTTCCTAAACCTACACAGCGGTGTTTGCTCCATTTTTGGAATGTCTATTTTTACTTTTCATCAGATAGGTTTCTTTCGTTGCATGTTTATAGATTGGCTCCTAAATCCGCAATATCTTCCTTTTATGGGGTGCATACAGTGGGCAATTTGTGTTGTTTCTCCTATTCCGCCGCAACTGCATACCGTACTTTCGATATCCTTTTGTGTGTTCCTCTCCAAAATGATGTGAATGTTTTCTTGGTTTCCACCTTCGTAGGGATATACTAGTACACAATCCCCTCGTCTGCATCGTAAAAAATCAAACTGAATGATCGTTGCATTGCCATGCCGTGCTGGCGATGTTCCATATCATAATGATTTTCATCAGTCTGGCGGGTTGCCCTTCTGAATTTTTAAAAGTTTAACCACTTCATAGAATTTTGGTCTGTTCTGGGTGTATGAGTTCGGCTATAGAGATGATGCATATAATGACTTGTGCGCTGCGCAACAAGTAGCTCGCGTTTTGTAAGAATATTTCCACGCGATTGAGGAGAATGTCTTGCTAGCATAGGCAATCGGTTGCTCCGCTATATTGAAGAGACGTGACAGCACTGCACCAGAAGCAAATCCACTTGCACCTGTGTCTTATATTATAGTTTTATGAAAGTCTGATTAGGCTAGAACGGGGATTTTCATTTGCATGTTTCAGTGTAATGAATACGTCATTACATGCTGCTGTTCATTTAAACTTAGTGTCATTCTCTGAAAGCCTGTTTAACAAATGCGCGGTCGCCGTAAAACTTGGTATTATGCAGACACTTAGGCCGAGAAATGAACTTCGGTTTGGTAGGTCCAGGCCATTTCTTGAGCTGTACTTGCGTTCCTATGTGTCCTCACTTTGTTTTCTGTTTGTTTTAGCAACGGTTGATCTTGCGTAGTTTTTCTTCTCCGATTTGTCCTAATTCGCAGCATGTGGTACCATTTTATAGATTAAGAATGACCTTAATTATTTTATAAGCGGATTCGTGCAGGGCATCTATGAAATGCCCATTCGTGAAGATTTTTCATAAATTATTAAGCGTTGTTAGCTAAGCCAAGTAAGCAAAAGTTCCAACTCGGGCAAAAATGCTGATTGACTTTTGCCTTTCTGCCTTTAATTGTGTCCTGCACAAATCAGTCAGATTTGGAGAAATCGTAATAGTCTCTTGTGCCGTTTGGAATATTA